GGCCTCTCTCATCTTTTTAAGTGGGAGAACTTGCACAATTGGTGGCTGACTAAATACTTTTTTGCCCCACTGTATTTTCAACCGCACTGGATTGATAAGGTAGCAGTATATTTAATCTTTGCTCCAATTCTCACATTCACTTTGAAGGGATGAAATTACAAGGTCATTTTATCTTAGCTATTTCATGTGAAGAACATTTTGTAGAATGTGCACCCATCCTTGGGCAGAGCAGGAATTTAGACAGCCAAATAAAGATGTAAAGATCAGTTGCTTTGACATAGCATGTAACTATTGTCACACAGAGTAGAGAGCCAAATTCATAAGAAACATTCTCTGTGCATCACCAGGAATGAGGGAATGAATTAATGAATATAAAAATCAACTGTGACTTTAACAAAGGGCTGTTATCAGAACTATTTCACAAATGCATGCTCATTGCAGGATTTCTGTAGCACTGCTAACCTGGCCTACCATAATTATGTGGACTTTAGTGGTGTGTGTTAACATGCTGAGGGATCTAATTTGAAAGAGGAAGGTTGTTAAAAGAACAGATATACCCAAAGCAGTAGCAGTGTACTTATAGGAAGAAAGTTGGAGTACTGTTAAATAAATCCCTCTGACCTGCTCCGTAGGCCATCTAAAGCAGCTCTTCTCAAGGTCACTTCCTCAGATCACTTCCATTGTGCTCAAGATACTTTATAGAGTTAACCTCATAACCAAAATAAGGTGAAAAGCCTACTGTCAAATGTTGTAAATGTACTTACAAAACAGGGAGTCCCCAGTTTAAGAACGACTTCTGTTCCCAAGATCTGTCCTTAAGTCGAATTTGTATGTAAGCTGGAACAGTACTGTATTATTGTATAATACTCTGTAAGTAGTATTGTGTAATGAACTCGAACCATTTTGTATTTAACTCAAATCATTATGTATTTAACTCGAATTTAGCTACAATAGGCGCCGTTCTTAACTATGGGTTGTCCTTAAACCAGGCATTCTTAACCTGGGGACTACCTGTACTTGCCTCCAGCCTTGATTTGTTACCCTTTTATCTTCCTTTCTCACACTGCTCTTTTCTTTATATTTTTAGGGAAATCCCTCCATTTGTCCTCCTGCTCATTTTGCTTTCCGAAGGCTCCTATCTAGCCTGCTGCTCTGTAGAAATTGTGTGGCTCACCATATCAGGAAATTGGGGCCTGCCTCATTTGACTGTCACCAAGAGGCTTTATTGCCACTTCCAGTAAATCCTTCAGCTTAGTCATTTCCGAACTGCTCAGGTATCCACCACATTGCTTGTTCCGTGGAGAAATCTGTGTCCAAACTTTTATTTGTACAGCTATGGAACATCTGTGCTACAAAGGATTCTTTTGCCATGCTCTAGAATGGATCTTCACCTATATTTTCACTTTAAAAATATCCACCGCTATGCATGTAGGTTCTAATAAAAGGAAGCAACCACTGTTGCACTCTGCAAAGCAAGAATACGTGCTGATCTGCACCCAGGTCCTCATTTAGGCCGGAATGAGGCGAGCAGCGTTATTCCCAGCACCCTGCTTCCCATGCAAAACTCTTTTGCACACTGTAATATGCTCTAGCACAGCCCTGAGTCATAACACCTGTTGCCTCAAACAGCGTCTCAGGTGTTAGGTTACCTACATCCTTTACCTTTACATTCTCTCATTCTATTTTATTTGAGTACCACGACTGGTATTTTTAGTTCTGTCATCAACAATGTACATTTATGCACACGTGTGTCTCTTTTGAATATATCAGATTCCTCCAGGGCTGCTGCTTTGCTGGGACTAAAGAAGAAATCCATGACAGGGTTCCTTTGCATTTCTTGCAAATGGCAGTGAGAATGTACAAATGTCTTTCATGTGGGGAGGAATGGGCTTCTTGTGCTCTGCCAGCAAGAGTTGTGCCTGCAATCCCATCAGCTGACTTGGAGGAGGGCTGACACCATGGAGGAAGTTTCTGAGGGCCAGATATGGCCTCAGATAGAAAATCTCTGCTGTAATCCAAGGATCCATCTGGGGCTGAATAAGCTACATTTTCTTTCATTCTCATTTGCTAACTTTCAGCCTAGCTTGTTTCTTATCTTGGAATGTTGCATTTTAGCATGTGATTCCAAACAAACCAATGGATTTTTTAAAAATTTTGCTTACAACACAACAGTCCCATGTCCATATATCCAGGGATCAAATCTGGTTTACATTTCTCCTACTATATCTATAAATGGCAATTGAAAATAGTTTCCAATTTTCCCCCAAATTATCTATTCTTTCACATGCTATTTAAATAATTTCCCCATCTCACAGGGAATGCATTTTTAAACATATTTCATTCTTTACTCCAATGCTGCAGTATTCTTTCCACTCAGATAAGTTTCATTTGGCAAACACATCCCATGCAGGATTGACCACGTTCTTCAGAACTGAACAAACAAATCCCAACACTGCAATTTCATATTTTAATTACATGTCTGTGTACAAGATGAGATGGCTCTTGTTCATTTTTTGCCCATCAAAATGTTTTGCCTGTAGTTGAGTTCCATAATCATATCATTGAAAGCATTCTACATGATATAGCTGAGCAATATTCGTGTAACTGAGTTGTTGATTAATATTCATGTAACTGAATTGTTGATTAATAAAAGTTTGCAGAACCTGCCTATGTGAATTTATCTGCCGTCAGGCAAAAAGTTTTTGTACATGAGATTTTATCACTAGTGGCAGGCAAAATGGTAGAAGAACCAAGGAAGTTCATTTTAGGCCTACTATCACGTAACATAATGTATCAATCTGTTGATGGACGTACCACATCTAGTTCCCAATTCAATGACACCTAATTAACTAACCAATCAACCATCCAACCCACCTGCCCCTTACACAGGCTCAAAAAAGATCAGAAACTCTGTCAGGGTTGAGACACATCATTTTTAAAGCTTTATAGTTAAATTTCTTTTAAACACAGCTCTGAATCAAAGTGAAAAAATGGAAGTGGACAGAACTGAATCATTTTAATTTGCACAAATCCCAGCCCTGTCACCCTGCTGTATTTCTATATTTGTTTGAAGCAATCTCTGGAAATTAACATCCGACAAACTTTCTGTACTTTGGCTAAAATACCAAAATGATATTCACAAACATCTGAAGAAAGGAAAACTTCCAAAAAGAGGTAAATTTGGGAGGGAGGGGGCAGCATATAAATTAGGATGTCTGCACCCTCAATATCTTTGCATTCTAACCCAATTTGGGAAGAAACTTCAAAAATAATGGTTGCTTTCGTGCAATGATTCCTTAAACAAAGTTTCAGGACGTTTGAGAGAATCTGTTGTATCCCTGTTCTATATATGAGTCCTGGGAGGAGGACACATTCCATAGATCCTTATTGATTGCAATGAGCACTATGCACAGAAATACATGAAAACATCTCAGTATCTCAAAGTCCTGGCTCTGCCATAACATAAAATAAGTCAAGTGTTAAAGACGTTTCAAGAAACATCATGCTAGGAAAAACAATTTAATTCAGTTGTACTACTTTTCTAGTCTTTCAATTGTGCAATCCCAGCAAGATATAATTATTCATAAAGTATGGGCACCAAATGCAAAAACCAAACTTAAAAATGTTGAAAAAAAAGTAAAAATTCATATAAGTGTCTCAACTTTCGTACCATAAAGACGACTTGCAGGTATAATAAAGGATTTGATAGAAAATGCTGATATCTTCAAGCACTGCAGCATGTGAAGAAATAGGCTGTGCAATTTGAACCAGTAGCCATTTAAAATATTAAAAATTATATAAATAGTTATCTCCAAGATTCCAAGATGAAGTCATGTTGCATTTCTTCTTATTTGTAGCCTACTACTGATTTTTAAGGAAACTCAATTTGAGTGAAAATTCTTCAAGAAGATAGTGAAACCTTTGTCTAAATATTCAGTCTGACAAGAAAGGATCATATGATTCTAGACTAGAAAGATGATCTCTCATGGGCACCTCAGACACCATTCTTCACCAGCTCATGGATCCCACTTTGGTCAATAATCAAAGGAGCGTGGAATTCTTTGTCTTTGACCAACTCCACCAGTCCCTAGGAAAAAGGAAACACGCAGAAACTAGTCAGGATAAATTTAGTATCAGCACAGGCAAATTAACCATCAAATGCAATCTAATGTACAATTTGGACTTTCAACTTGAGAGAATCATTTTCAAATTCCTGTTCAGTTAAGACTGTACTGGGTGGCCTTAAATAAAGCATTCTAAACCCTATTTTCTAGGTGTATGCTTAAGGTATTATCATCCTCCATTAAGGATTATTATGGAGATGAAAATAAAGTGTTAGGAGCACTTGATATATATACAAGGAGCAGTCATGTTAAATCTTCAAGCTCACAAGATCTAGTAAAGTCCAATTAAGCCTTTTTACTCCTGCATAAGTGTAATATATGAGAACAGTTTTGATCAAAGCCCCCTTATGATGGCTTGCAACAGGGTTGTAATTAGCTTCTTGCTCAGTTTTCTATGGTAAGATAGAAAGCTTTGCAAAAGTGACGTTTTAAAGCTGTATCTTTAGCTATTGGGGTAGGCTAGCAAGTTTAGCAGGCTAGTTTACAATAATATAAATATAATACAAATCCCAATATCAAGTAGGAATGAAGTACTCATTGATAAATATATTGTGTGCAATAATTATATTAACACTAATGAGTCCATGTGGAGCATTCACAGTTTGTAACACAAGTGTTCAGATCATACTCCTTTCAAGAAGGCTGCTTCTTTCAACTTTGCCCTATTATCCATATTCATATTTGCCCTGTCATCTGTAAAGTAGAATTGCTGCATCAGGTCAGCTGTTTTGGCTTATCAAACCCAAAGAATTACAGTGAAGGGATATTCAGTTTCTCATTTCCACATTCCACTCCCTGGTATCTGAACAGCAGATTTTTCCAGTAGATTGCACCTGAAGTTTACTTTAAGCTGTACAATGTTTTAGGGCAGGATGTTTAGAGGAATGGGGGGGGGGGGGGACAGTAGAAAAAGGATTCAGAATACCACAGGAACTTACTTCACCCCCATAGGAGACAAGAGGAGAAATCTCACACTGAATTGGCAAGTCATTTGCATCCTTCAAACTAAGGAACAAAAACAAAGAAAAAGTGTTAGTTCAGGATGAGAAACACACAGGCAAACCTATATTATACAGAATTTCACTGCTGTGCACTTGGCAAACTCTTGTTGAGGCATGAATGCCTTTCTCTGCTCTTGTCATGGAACCTGTTCTGCAGCGCTACAGAAATCAAAATGGTAGCTATGGAGCAGGTTCATTATCTAGAGGCAGAGAAATTGGTTAAGAGCATGCAATGTGAGATAATAAAACAAAATAGAGAGAGAGAGAGAGATGCACTAGGTAGAGAGGTAATTTTTTTTTCCAGAAAAAAAGAGAAATATTGAAACCTATATGCAATCCTCAGTTTTTAGTACCACCTTATATACAGATATAAACTCACTTTGTTACTTTACATAAAATGCATTTATATGTTCAATATATAAAACAGAAAAGTACAGTTAATTCAGAGAGTTACACTTTCACTGACTGAAAATACTTTAAAATGTAATTGTATTACAAAAGAAAGCTACACATTCCTGAACTCTAAGGATAGCAGTATCTCTTCATTTTACCTGTTTAGGAGAAAAAGCCAGGCAAAAAGTTAACTTTGAAAATAGAAGAAATCATTTGTAGAGTAGTAAAACAAAGGACATTCTGGTGAGAGGTAGAGGGAATCAATCTACTTATGAAAAAAGTGAATAGGTTTAAGAAATGCGAGCTTTCCTCGGGAATGCCTACTTCCTGCTTTGACTTCCCCACCCAGAGGCAGATCCCCAAACACTGCAGTCCTCAGACCAAGGAATATTGTGCATTCATGCGTTAGCTGATAAACTAGGGCAGCAAACTTAAACCAGCTAACCTGAGAATTAACACTGTTCTGTTTGAGGGTGTTATTTTTCTTTTGATGTATAGTTTAACAGAGAACAGACACATTTTTTAAAAGGGCCCTGTATAATACAGATCTTTATATATCTGCAGAATTTCAGAACCTTAATGGAAACATTTTATGTTTTGTAGAAGTGAAAATTATTTCCATGAACAGAACTGAATAAGGGTGGTCTGATCTTGCAGAATGGAGATGATAAATATATGTATGGAAAGGAAGGTGCAAGTTTAATTATGAACAAATGAGTTAAAATGCATATCAAAAAGTATGAACTGGTGTAATCTGGGATTATTTCAGGTATGTAGGATAGTAAAAATTCATAGGTTGGGGATAGCTGTATGTTACACTCAGAGAACTGTGATAATTAAAGGAGGCGGGATCAATTTTGGGGGGAAAATGTGCAACATTTTGAATGAATGAAACCTAGGGAAAACGAATATGGTGAGATGAATAGATGAATAGGAATCAGATGAGACAATTCAGAAAATACAACTGGGCTGTTCAGAGACTTGCTAGAATAAATGAGAATAGTGACTGTTTATTCAACATCTTTTTCTAAGAAAAAGATCTGTTTGTTTTGGATATGTTTATGTATCACAGGAGAAACAGAAGAGTTGAGTGCAGCAGGAATGGCATATAGAAGAAGTGTGTGTGGTAAAGCAAGAAGAGATAGGGTTAAATGAGTCATAAGTACAAAAGAATTATCTTCATATAGAAAGTACAAAATAATTTGTTCATACAGAAAGAATAAATGAGGACTACATTGGAAAATAAACACATAAAGAATGAAGATGAGGAGGAAGACAGATGAAGTAATGGTTAGATGAAGTTGATGTGATCCTTAAAAAGAAGTAAATGAAAAATTTCAACTGCAAAAAGCAGTTTATAAATCTGTACATGGATGTGGGGGAAGCAAGGAAGGTTTGAAGGGATACAAAGGTAAAGTGTCAGTATAAACTAGTTACATTTCTTCTTTTTTCTCTTACCTCATGCCTTATGCCCACTATTTCTTACTCTATTTCTGCTCTTGGCATAAAGATGCTTGCCCATCATGCTATTCCCTTTTGGGGTATGCATTTAAGAGTCAATTGATGAATTCCTAACAAGATAGTTAATTGATAGTTTAATGGATGTTCTATTCAGAAACATTTCAGTACAGAAAAAATTATGACCACTTCACTGAAATCAGAAATTACAGAGGAAGTCTGTCATTTGGTCCAAACATATTCAATACTTCCAAAAGAAAGAAAAACAGAACAAGTTATTTCCTATCCAGGCATACTACGTGTCCATCTAAGAATACTGCCAACTCGAACTGGGAACAGCTCTTCTAAATAACAGTGGGTTAGATATGTAGAGCTGAGAGCAGGTCATAGTAAGGTTGCCTCACCAGCTCGTCTCTATTTGTACTCAGGACAAGCAGCTTGCTCACCAGCATAGAAATCGGGAAACTGTGAGTTCTAGTCCCACCTTAGGCTTGGAAGACGGTTGGGTGACTTTGGGCAAGTCACTCTCTCTCAGCCCAACTCACCTCACAGGGTTGTTGTTGTGGGGAAAATAGGAGGGCGAAGGAGCATTAGGTATATTTGCTGCCTTGAGTTATTTATAAAAATAATAAAGGCAGGATAAAAAAAATCTTTAAAAAAATCTTATTTGTTGGGGTATGTAGATGTTCACTGAGTTAGTGGCAGTACCTAGCTGGCTTGGGCTGATCTTAAAAGCTAAGCAGAGCAGACACTGTGATGAGGAACACTAGAAAATATATTAGATCTGTAGATTAGACTGGAAAGTAAAAACAAAAAACACAGTCTTGGATTCAGGCAACTGCAAACTAGTCTTGTACAGCTGCCAAGAAAACCACATGGACATGACCTCAAAGTCACCAGAAGCAGAGCTCAACTCTTTTCCTTTGTGCATATGTTAAGCAACATGAAAGGGCTCCAGCAGCCATTTCTTCTCTGCTCTAAACCTCCAAGCATATGAGGAAGAATTCCTGTCTCCCAAGGCTTAAGTAAGATGAAAATTAATACTACAACTTAAAAAAAAGAACAGGAGAAACCACTATTTTCCAAACTGCAATGCAATGTAAATATTCCATCTTTTCCTTGAGTTTTCTAGGAAACAGAGAATTTGAGTGAAAAGTGTCTTTTTTACTTGCAAAGATTGAAAAAACAGCAGCAGGAGACAGTTTGGTTTCTTACATCCTCCAAACTAGAGTGCAAGAAAATGTAGATACCTAAAAGATAGAACTTTCCCAGTATTCAAATTTCCCCTTTACAAATGATTGAAAGCAGAAGAAGGTGGCTCCTATGATTTGTGTTTAGCTTTGGAGAATATTAGAAGAGGTTCTCTCTTCCCTAGGTCATAACATGAATAAGAAGGAAGCCTCATTCCCAAGGATGGTGGAAAGATGAGGATTCTTTCTCAATGTTCTTTATCTTTTGAAAAGATAAATCCAGTAAGAATATTTCCCTAGCACAAGGACATCTTTCCAAAGTCCTGTGATGCCTGCCAGAAAATTTGGGGGCTAGAGGTGTTGTGGGAAAGATCCAAAGATGGCTAGCACATTTAAAAAGCTGTTACTTGTACATTCTGATACTTGCACAAACTTTTATAAAGTGATAAATAATGGGCCTAATTAAGTCTCCAACCATCACAGGTAGTGGGATTCACTATTCTCCACTGCTTCCTTCTCCTGTGGGGAAAAAGCCCTGAATTCTACAAAACTAGAATTCAGTAGAATTCATGCAGTAAAAATAACATCCAAAGACTATACATTTGCACAGGCCTCACTGCAAACGGACAACCCACAGATTTAAAAAAGGGTACTGCAGGTACATCAATGGGGTGCCTGTATTATGCTTCAGCCTCTCTTCTCTCTCCCACTCCACAACAGTGTTATGTTTTCAAAGCAGTCTGCCAGCAAAGCTTGTTACTTAAAGTTAGAAAGCCACACATTTTATAGAAGTGAAAAAAAGCCCTGCCCATGCAGATTAAGGTCTTCCAAGAAGTGAATCTATGGCAGCCATTGGCCACTATTTCATAGTTCCCAAGAGCTAAGTATACAATAATTGTTTGTTGTATTTAACAGAATATAAAAAGATTGAGTACCAAGACCCTGCATGCTACGGAGAGATGTGTTAGCCAGTACCCAAGCAAACCCATCACCATGCACCCCCAGCAGCCCGAGACAGTATATATTTACTTGTGATTGACATCAGCTTGGATCACATCTGACCTTCCATTTGTGTAGCTGTCATATGGGAAGAAAAAGGATTTATGAGAAGGGACATAAAGTTGAGGTGTGTGCCAAATCTAGAAAGTGGTCTTTCCATGATATGGGTGAGTGGGGTGAGCAGATTCTATCCATATATTTAGGAGGAGGACAGAAGCCCAATGTACTAAATTGAATGGCAGCTGTTTTTGTTTATCCAGCACCCTATTTTTAACAACATCAGTACTGGGCAACATGTGGTTCTCTAGATATTGCTAAAATGGAATTCCCAAAGTTGCACCCAGCACAGCAATAATGAGGAATGCTGTGAGTTGTTATTTCAGCAACATTTGGAGAGCAAAACACTGCCCTTCCTTGAACTTCAGAGACCTTTCTTCAATCGTGAGCTTTTTTGACCTTGGCACTCAACCCCAATATCAGACCTGATTTCTTGGGCATGTTTTAGAGCCAGATGGAGATTCCTATCATAAACATTCAACATTTCTTGTAATGCAACAAAAGTGTGAGATTTTAACACTGTTCCATGTCATCTGACATTTTCTTCACTGCCCCTCCCGCATTAAAACAAATGACCTATTGCCAACGCTGCCAATCCCAAGAAAGATGATAACTGAGGAGGCAAACTGTGTTATTCCAAAGTCATATGTTTGGGGGCATTCAGATATAAGCAAATGGGATTACTTTACACCAGTTTAATGGCCCATCTAGCTCAGCTCAGGAAGGGAAGCCTCCAATGAGGGCTAAATTTCCTGTAGTTCATCCATAAGGACATGCTCTCTTGATTCCTCCTTTCTCTTTCATACACAGAGCTCCTTTTTCATTTTGCTTTTGTTCTTCCAGAAAGCCTTCCTCTCCCCAAGAGAACATGTTCAAACTCTGGGTTCAAACACAGAGCACACTGGCTAGACTAGGGTTTTCAATCTTGGCAACTTTAAGGTATGGGCTTCAACATCCAGAATTCCCCAGCAAACATGCTGGCTGGGGAATTCCTGGAGTTGAAGTCCACACATCTTAAAAGTTGCCAAGTTTGAAAAACCCTGGGCTAGGTTGTCTTTTTGAAGGGATCTCTGTTGTTCTGATCATCGTTCTGTGACTGGGATTCTGAGCGCAACTAGTTCCTCTTTGCTATCTTTCTCTCTCATTTTTAGAGCAACTCTTTGAGTTACTGAAAAGAAGAGATCCCAGTATACCCAGAAAATGACCACAAAGCTTCATTGTCATGGTGTAGGGATATGAATGCCTCAGACCTCTTTTAGGAAAGCCTGGCCTGGATAAGGGAACTTATAACCCATGCAAGCTATTCTCCAGGGGTTTAATTATTCTGGGTCTAGTTTGAATTTGGAACTGCTTTGCACTGAAATTGTTTTCCAAATGCAAGAGCTCCATTCATTTTCACCCAAATCTAACCCCTAAAGCTACGCATACTTTAAAGATTATAACTAATGGAGCTATGACAATTTTAATGTATGTTGCTACCTCATAAAATCTGATTACTTGGGCACGCAAATACACTAAGCTGGATAATGCCATACATCGGGGAAGCATGCTAGAAGATCTGATTTGGAATTTTACTAACTAGAACACTCCACAACTGTGAATGTTCTCCCAGCTGAACTGCAATTACAACCAGACTATAGGAAATACTCATATTAGACATTGGAGGTAAAAATTAGGGGAAGGCCAAATTTTCTAACCGAGGAATAGCTGGTCGGCGTGTTCCATTCTCATCCACAAAGTGACCACCAGCATTGAGAACCCAACAGTGATGCAGTGACATCAAGGAGTGTCTCGCAGTGGTGGGGTTGTCCTTGCCATTTTGGCTATCTGCATTCTTCAAAGGGGAGAATTCATCTTCTCGCAGAACTTCATAAACCACAAAGTTCCTGGATTTAAAATAAAGTTGAGATAGGTCAACTGTAAAGACTTTAAGCACTTTTTGCTTCTACTATCAACTGTGCAGTCCTATAGACGGATATTAGCAATAAACTCATATGCCAAGGAGAAAAAGGAGAAGTCAGATCAGGGGAAGAAAATAGTTCTACAATTATTTACATCCTCACCTAAAACATTTATTTCTTCAAAGCTTTCAACACTGAAGCACCTACCAACTTCATAGCAATTGCTGGGGCTAGTTTCAATACTTCCTTTTAGGTAGGCACAAGGATAAATTGGCATTACAGAAGTTTGCCTTGAGCCTTAGTATAAAGAGAAAGGCCACTGATTATCTGCTTTCTCCTCTTTATACCAGTTCTGTTCCTCCTACTGGTTTTGACTACACTACATCTCATCTACTGGTTCCCAAGACAACCTCAGGATACATGACTGTTCCTCACCCTTTCGTAATACCATACAAGTCCTACAAACTCCACACAATCTAATTTCAATATCTTACGTAGTATATTCCTTTCTGATCTGTGCTTATCACATCTTTTACTCCTCTTAGCTGCAGTCAAAATTATCTTCTCTTACTACCCCTCTTTCCCCCCACCATACAGTTGAAGCATACCTCCCATATGTTGCAACCAGGAGGGGGTGGGGAAGCTTCCAGAAGGAAAATAAAGCCAATGATTATATACCCAGATGCACAGAAAACAAGTCAGTCAGACCAGGGACTTACTTAGCAAACTGGAAGATGTCAAATACAAATTTCTCCATTTTAATCCCATTTGGTTTGTCAGGCTTCAGAGCTTTCCCAGTGGTCACATCTATGTATGGGACTTTCTTCTGGGCTATGTGATGTTGCAACTGAGGTTCGTAAACACTGAAACATCAAGGTAGGAGTCAGCAGAGTAAGAAGCACATCATGATGTATTGTGCCCCCCCCCCCCCAGTTTTTAAACCCCATCATTCTGGCAGGCAAATAATAGCTATCTCAAGACTAGATAGCTGAGCCATGTTTTTAATCCTGCAAGAAAGTAGTACTACTGTTAAATACTACCAGTGAGGACTCACTACTGCTTGTAATCTCATCCTATTCCTTCCCTTGTTTACAACTCAATGTAAACATCAGAGCACCAAAATCTCTTGAGACATTTTCTGAAAGAACTTAAGTCATGGATTTTGACCTTGAGCTCTCACCAACTCTGATTCTACATATTGTTCCATCTCATCACTTACTTTTTCTGTCAGGACATCATTAGCAATGTCCTGTGATGCTAGGAGACTCAATTAATAAATATGTAAACTTGTAGACAAATCAAATTCCAAACTAGGAATAATTAGTTTAAAAAAACCCCTGAAAATACTGTAAAACTGAATATAACAACATACGGGTAAATATGCCTCAGAAAGAACTAAGTAGAAAAAAGCAGCCATGAACAGATCAGAAGAGATCACCAAAAAAGAGACTACAGCATTGCAGCTTAGAAAAAAGTGGGTAAGGGGAAATATGGTAAAAGAATATAAAATCACGTACTGTATGTCATAAAAGTAGATTTTAAAAGATCTTCTACCAGCAGCATTCTTTATATTGTGTAATTTGAGAGTGTTGCCTATATGATATTTTCATTGTATGTGAAACTTAAATAGTTTTTATTTCTTGCTTTGAACTATCCTGGCACTAGTTATAGGCTGTTCCATAGCAAAAATAATAAAAAAGAACAGATTTTACCATGTAACATGAAGAGGAGAAATAACCTTTGAACAGCACTTCATAGAGCAGCATGACTAAAGAAAGTCCTTACTTGACAACATCTTTCAGAAACTCCATTGTGAAATAGTGATTGGCAATGTTGCCAGCATTAAAAAGTAACCGGCCATCAGGACATCTTTTCTGGGCTGTGGCCAGAGAAATCTCGCTGTACTCCACCACTTTGTAAACACCATCTACTTGGCACACCACTCCAACAGGTTCTGTCGGGTTAGTTTTTTCAACAACCTTGCAGTGGGCAGAAAACAGAATTGTAATAACTTGAATTAATGTAATAACTGTGGTATATTTTGATGGCATATAATCCCTTCTTCAAACGCAATAACTGTTATTCACAACTCAATATATAGTTTAATATATATTGGCGTAAAGAAGAAAACTTTAAATGATGGGATCAAACTACACAAATAATCTATAGCAATTCAATGAGCATTCACAAGACAAAATAACTTATTAAGTATTTTACACTCACATTGTTAAAATGCATGAAATGCAACAGTTCTTTTGACAATGTCAGAGTTTTCAATACCTTGAAATATATACTAATGGCAAAGATATGTTTCAAAGCAAAACAGAGAGTTCCAAAACAGTTTAGTAGTTTTGCTAATTTAACCACAAAAGTCATGTTTTGACAGCTTGAGATGAGTCAGAGATGAACGTAGGTTGCACTGAAATCTCTGCAGGTCTTGGCTTTAAGATGTGTAAGATAAATTTCACCAAGAAGCTCTTAAAATCCAAATCCAACTCATATCAGCACCTGAAGTTCTCTGTTTAGCATTGTTCAAAATGGACTTTATGGGCAAGTCTCACATTTCTCTTTATTACCAGGAGTATACATACAAATTGGTAGATTAAGAATATGATGGTTCTTCTGTCAGAAAGAACTCTCCTTTCAATAAAAAACTGACTCTCTATATAACCAAAACATCAAAACTGGGAAGCTGCATCAACCAAGAGTCTCTGTAATGTTACAAAAGTTGCCTGCTCTAACTGTTTTTCTCTTTGAAACACTTTCTCTCTCACCACATGAAGGTGTCATAGCAAAGAAATAAAGAAATCCTGTCAAACTTGATTTCTGGTCATTGCATCTATGCAATTTTCTTATTACTGTTATGGATATGGTCTTCCATTCTAGCCAAGAAACTAACTTTACAAAAAGAGCAGATACTGTGTTACTAAATAACTTGTGGATTACTAGCGAATCAAACTAACCAGATAGACATAATTAAAACACACATTCATTCCTACTCTTATCTCAGAACAAACAGTAAACATCTCTGGATACATTCTAAAAAAAAGTTTATGAATTCACTATAATTTTGTTCTGTTCTATAGAATGCTGAACTCAGACGGAGGTTCCAACCTTGAATTGGTATGCTAAGGGAAGCTAATGGATAGGCAGTAACTGATTTAAGAAAGATCAGACAAAGATGAAAGGAGAGATGTCAACATCCAAGATACTTTAGAAGATTTTCCCTATTAACAAGAACCTCTAGGATTAAAGATGACCATTACCAAGTCAGAGAGCTACAGGAATTGATGAAATGTCTACAGAAATATGGCAATCAATGGAATAACAATCAGTAAAGGTTCTAACCAAACGATGCTAGCAAATGACATAGTGGCCAGCAGATTGGAAGAGGTTAGTTTCACACCATTACCAAAGAAAGCACAATTAATAATGTGTGTAAACTATTGCACAATATCCTTAATTTCACATGCTAGCAAAATAATAATTAGGAACATCCAAGGCAGTTTAGAACCATACATGAAAAGGAGATGCCAGATGTTCAAGCTGGCTTTAGAGAAAGCCAAGGAACACAAGGCATTATTGCTGATGCATGCTGAATAACTGAAAAAGCCAAAGAATACCAAAAAGAAGTCACTATGTGCTTCATTGATTAAAGAAAGGTGTTTGATTGTGTCGACCCTGTCAAGCTGTGGAATGTCCTTAGGAAAATGGGAATCCCAGAGTATCTCATCATCCCTATGTGAAACCTATATCCACAATCTGGTTGGAACATGGTGACAGAATGGTTCCAAGTCAGCAAAGGAATGAGACAAATGCTGTACAGGCTCCCTTTATTTATTCAATCTATAAGCTGAATATATACTGAGGGAGGCTGGATTGGGAGAATATGAATGAGGTTTTAAAATTGGAGGAAGAAACATTAGTGGTTTTCCTGTGACACTATGGAAGTGAAGGTTGGATTTGAAGAAGCAGGATAGAGACAGTATTGATGCTTTTCAGCTTTGCTATTGGAAGAAACAGATAGCTAAGAAACCTATTGCACAACTGGATCACAGAAAAACCAATCCAGAGTTCTTACTTGAGGTGCAAATGACCAGGCTCAAATTATCATATTTTGCTTTGAATAACTTTATTAAATTTTTAAACAAGAAAGATAAAAACTAAGAGAATAATATTTAAAATAAAGGAGGAAAAGAAAATAAAGAAAGAGAACAAAGGCAAAAGTTCAGAAAGAAAAGAAAAGAAAAAGAAGAAGTATAAGGACTTCCGGTGAGGATTAATGGCATTTTAGTTCATCTTTGAGGAGCGGAGACAACATCACAGCTGAGATCAGCACCCAGAAATGAGCGCTGGATGCTGAATTTCCTCTGGATAAAGGAGGAAGCATGAAATCAACCAATTTAATCTCTGGATGGCTGTTCCCATGAATTGACTCCAAGAACGGAAGTTTTTGCTGTTGAATGGCTGGGAGGCGTGGAATTCTATCTTTGTTCCTGGCTGTGAGGTAGCCAACACAGACACTAGAACTGACCAATCCCCATTACCTAATTACATTTTGATACAATTATTCAAAAGCTTGAGAGAGATTTTCTTTCACAAAAGATAAGTACTTCTCTTGGTGGTTTTAAATTTAAAATCCCCCCAAAAATGAAAAGAAGAGTTAAAGACTCAAAGTATATTGAATAATTAGCAAAAAGCTTAAGAATAAGGAATGATATAAGAAAGTTAAAAACAGATGAAGGGGAAGATTACTTTTAAAAAAAGGTTAATTTCTTACGAAACTGCATTGTAAAAATCCTAACTGAATTAACAATAGACTCAGACCTGTGAGAATGCTGCTTGCTTTGCACTAAACAGTGTTGATAATTGGCTGGATTTACAAAACAAAACAATACAGTAATTTGAGTAGACTGTGTATTTGGCCGTAACTATGGAACACTGATATGAAGTGTGCCTGCAATTACAGCTTCAAAGAAATTAGAGAGAGCGAAGTTTGTGTTTATCTCTCTTTCTGTTCAACACCTTTACTTTTAAATAACGATGACTCATAAGGCACCAAAAATGGAGATTAGAAGAGGTTCTTCAGAACAGCCATTAGAGAAAGAAGATAAAGAAAATAAAACAATTCCTTTAAGTTTACTTCAGTCAATGTTTGATGAACTGGGATCTAAATTGGCTCAGTCACTTGAAGCCAAATTCATGACACTTATAAAAAAGATAGATGAAAGGCTGGATAAGACAGATAACTCTGTAAAACAAATGTTTGGTGATATAAAACAAATGTCTGGAGATATAAAATAGTTATTAGGGATAGAGAAATGGAGAGAGAGAGAGAGAATGTGGCTGTGTTGGAACGTAGAGAAAAGGAATTCTGTCTCAGATTTAGAGCTATTCCAGAGAGTCCTGATGAAGATATCAGAAGAAAAATTATACAAGCATTGACATATTTTTTGGACTGGGAAGAGGAGGGTACGGAGGCTGAGATTGACAAGGTATATCATATAAATTCATGCTTTACAAGGGTAAGAAATATTTCAAGGGATGTTTTGGTGCATTTTGTGAGGAAAAAAACAGGGGATCAAGTTTTGCAATAGCATTTCAATACAAGACTGAAGACTGAAAATGTAGATATAATTCTCTTAAAAGAAATCCCTATCAGAATTTTACATAAGAGAAAGAAATATTCATTTTTGACAGATATACTAAAACAGAGTAAGATTTCATTCCTTTGGGATAAATTAGAGGGTGTGATTTTTACTTTTAAACAGAACAAATTCCGACTCAACTCTGTTCAAAAGGCCAGAGAATTTTTGGAAAAATTTAAAGATTTGCAAGAGGTTCAAATGGAAGTTGTCAAGAAGATTTCTCCAAAACCACAACAGATGCAAAAGGACTCTGGAAAAGATTACTATGAATTAGGTGCTACAGGCACTGATTTTTCTAAATTGCTGGCCTAATTATAGATTACAAATGCTTAACATGGAATTTAAATGGAGCAAATGCTCCTCAAAAAAGAAAAAAAATGTTTTGTTATTTAAAAAAATTAAAACAAGATATAATTTGCCTACAAGAGACTCATATTAGAAAAAAGGTTATAAAGTATTTGATTTGTAGAAATTTGGGAGAAAAATTTATTTCAGCTTGACCTAAAAAAATTAATGGAGCTGTTTTATATGTTAATTCCCAACTAAACCCAGAACTTATATTGACTGATGAGCATGGCAGATTTGTTGGGGTGGAAGTCTAATTATATGAATTAAAAGCATGGTCCTGGGAATTTATGCCTCAAATGAGGATAAAGGATTTTTTTTATAAACGACTAATGAAACAACTGACAAGTCTTTCTTATGAAAGTTGGTGTCTGATGGGAGATTGGAATGAAGTGTTTTCTCCACAATTAGACAGAACATCAGAGAAGAATATTAGAATTACTCAAGGTAAATTACCAAAGGCTTTTTTTGATTTGATGGACAATTTAGCCCTAGTGGATGTATGGAGACAGAAAAATGGTAATTCCAGAGAATATATTTATTTTTCAGAAAGACACAGATCTTTTTCAAGAATTGATATGATTTGTACCTCAAAAAATTTGGCTACTAAGATTTCTAAAGTTGAGATTTTACCAAAGGCTTTTTCTGACCATGATCCTGTGAGCTTGATTTTTTAAAAGGAAACCTACTTCTTTCAGATGGAAATTAAATGAAACATTATAAAAAGAATTGATAGTGGAAGACTGCAAAAAGAAATTAATAGAATTCTTTGAAAATAATTTAAATAAAGCTAGTGATTAAAGAATGGTTTGGGACACAAGTAAAGCTTTTATTATACAACATAATACTGAATTTAAAAAGAGGACTCAAAAGAAAACACAGGTCATTTTGGATGAGATAAAAAGAAAAGAGGAAGGATTAAAGAAATCACCAGGAAAGACAAGCATTTCACATCAAATTAAACTTTTACAGCAACAGTTACCTATGTTAACAATAAGAGAAATGGAAATAAAGATGAATTATGGTAAGCAAAATAATTTTGAATTTGGGAACATACCAAGGAAATAATTAGCATATAAATTAAGATAGGACAAAGAAAAGATGATTTTGAAACTTCAAGAGGGAGATACTGTATTAACAAATAAGGTGACTATATAAAAAACCTTTTATCAGTATTACTCTAACTTACATAAAGAACATGATATTCCCTTGGAAAAAATAGATGATTACTTAAAAAAACAAAATTTACCAAGACTTACAGAAAACTAAAGACAGATTATGAATGGACCTATAACAATAAGGGAAGTTTCCAAAGCTATAAAAAAGATTAAACCAGGAGAAGTACCAGGACCAGATGGACTGCCAGGTTGTTATTATAAATGTTTTGAGGATGAACTTTTACAGCCCCTCCAAAATACGGTGAATTCTATATTGCTGGGAGGAAAGATGCCAGAGACTTGGAAATAGGCTAATATAGCTTTAATACCTAAAGAGGGACAAGATCTAACGTTAACAAGAAATTATAGATCAATATCATTATTGAATAATGATTATAAGTTGTTTACAAGAATTTTAGAAACAGATTGAAAATAATTCTGCAAGAATTTATTTCTGAAGATCAATGTAGATTTTTACCTAAAAGATAGTTAAAAGACAATGTCAGAATGGTATTAGATATTATAGAATACTTGGAACAGCATAATGAAAAACAAGCTGCATTAATTTTCTTAGATGCAGAGAAAGCTTTTAACAATTTAACTGGCCCTTTTTATTTAAACTTTTGGAAGTTATAAATTTTGGAGAGAACTTTATAAATTGGGTGCAATCAATTTATACTTCACAGACTGCACAAATTATTGTTAATGGTGATCTAACAAAACCTTGAGAGATACAAAAAGGAACAAGATAAGCTTGTCCATTATCCCCTCTTCTGTTTATTTTGGTTCTTGAGGTTTTGAATGGAGATATAAGGCAAGATGAGAGGATAACAGGAAAAAGAGACAAGTTGAGAGCTTTTGCAGATGATCTGGTGCTGGATTTGGAAAATCCTTTAAAGGGGACTGAAGTACTAATGAGAAAATTAAAAGAATTTGGTGCATTAGCTGACTTCAAGATTAATAAACTGGAGACAAAGATGCTATCAAAAAATATGAAGACACAAGATCAAACAGAATTGATGAACAAAATGGGTTTCAAGATTGAGAAAAAGTAAAATATTTGGGTGTTACTTTGACAAATACGAACTGTATGTTATTTCAAAATAATTATGTTAAGACATGGAATGAAGTTTAAAAAGATGGGACAAATCACAATTGCCATTGTTGGAGAGAATTTCTGTGATTAAGATGAATGTTTTGCCTAGAATGTTATTTTTGTTTCAGACAATACATGGTTTGACAACTGATGTATCAATTAAACAGTGGCAGAAAGATATAGCTAAATTTATCTGGCAGGGGAAAAAAACACGACTCAAATATAAGGCATTACAAGATGCTAAAGAAAGAGGAGGTTTGGGTTTACCTGATTTGAAACTATACTTTGCAGCTTGCTGTTTAGTTTGATTGAAAGAGTGGGTGATTGTGATGGACTGGAATGGTGGGAGGGGAGTAAAGAATGTGCTCTC